GGTAGGTAGGTAGGTAGGTAGGTAGGTAGGTAGGTAGGTAGGTAGGTAGGTAGGTATGCAACTTTTATACTAAGGCCACTTAGGGCAGTTTACAATGTTATAATAAATAACAATTTGAAACCAGTAAACATAATGAATATGAAAAATTCAAAATTAAACACATACACAAAAACAACATAAAATTCACTAAAAATAATTAAAGGTACTTTAAAGACAAGGTGGTGGAACTGATGCTATAAATGCTGAAAAGGCCACCGTGTTTCTGATGCTATAATCTCTGGGAAGGCCTGTCTGAAAAGCCATGTTTTCAATGATCACTCTAAAAATTCCTAGTGAAGGGGCCAGGTGAATTTTTGGTGGGAGATTATTCCAGAGATGAGGAGTGACCAACAAGAAGGCCCAGTTTTTGGTCTTTTCTTTCCAGTCCTCTCTCAGGGTCAATAATCTCAACCACTTGGCCTGGAAAGATTGTAGGGGATAGGATCTCATTGGAAGGTGTTGTTCTGTCAGATATTGATGTCCCAAATCATTTAGGGCATAGGTCGGGAAACAGGGGTAAATTACCCCAAATTGGGTAAGTGAAAATCCTGGGGGTAATGAGCAGACTGCTACCCCCCTCCCTCCTTCCCTCCCTCCCTCTCACCCCACCCTCTGCAGCCAAAGCTCAAATTGTAAGCCTGACCCCATTGTCATGGTCAGACCACTTTCTGGTCAAGTTTAGTCTATTAATTTCTCCCCTTTGCAAGGTGGGGGATCTATTAAGATGATCTGCCCTCGGAAAATAATGGATCCGGATGGTTTCCTGAATCTGGGGGATTATCCGGCTGATATGGTTAGCGCTCCTGTCAAAGCTCAGGTCACCATTCCTAAAAAAAGCCTAAGCTGGACCCAAGGCTGGTATTCCTAAAAAAGCCTAAGCTGGATTCAAGGCTGGTGGTTAACTACCGACCAGTGGCGAACGTCCCTTATTTGGGCAAAGCGTTGGAGCGGGTTGTGGCTGGGCAACTCCAGGCGCTGCTGGATGAAACGGATTTTCTGGATCCATTTCCATCGGGTTTCAGGCCGGGCTTTGGTACAGAGACTGCCTTGGTCACCCTGTATGATGAACTTTGCCAGGAGAGAGACGGGGGAATGTGACTCTGTTGATACTCATGGACCTCTCAGTGGCTTTTAACACCATGATGTCTTTCAGGATAGGCTGGCTGGGTTGGGAGTTGAGGGCACTGCTTTATGGTGGTTCCAATCCTTCCTGGCGTTTATGTCATAGAGTTCCTTTGGGCTCGATACTGTCCCCCATGCTGTTTAACATCTACATGGAACTGCTGGGAGAGGTCATCAGGAGGTTTGGGCTGAGGAGTCAGCAATATGCTGATGACACTCAGCTCTACCTCTCATTTTCCACCGATCCAGGTGAGGCCGTTTCTATGCTGAACTTGTTTCTGGACCTGATAATGGACTGGATGAGGGTTAATAAATTGAAGGTCAATACAGACAAGACCGAAGTGCTGTTAGTGGGTGCTTCGCTGGACAGACTAGAGGGCCATTTCCATGCCCTGAATGGGATTTCACTTCCCCTAAGGGACGGGATCTGCAGCCTGAGGGTGCTCCTGGACCCTAGTCTAACTCTGGAAGCCCAGGTGGACTCAGAGGCCAGGGGCGCTTTCCTTCAGCTGTGGAAATTATACCAGCTATGGCCCTACCTGGACGAGGAGAGTCTCA